AGGGCTCAGTTTCCAAAATATACAAATAGCTCATACAACTCAATAACAAAAAAACAAACAAACCAATCAAAAAACGGGCAGAAGACCTAAACAGACATTTCTCCAAAGAAGACATACAGACGGCCAGTAGGCACATGAAAAGATGCTCAACATCGCTAATTATTAGAAAAATGCAAATCAAAACTACAAAGAGGTACCACCTCACACAAGTCAGAATGGTCATCATTAAAAAGTCTACAAATAGCAAGTGGTAGAGAGGGTGTGGAGAAAAGGGAACCCTCCTATACTGTTGGTGGAAATGTAAATTGGTGCAGCCACTATGAAAAACAGTATGGAGGTTCTTCAAAAAACTAAAAATAGAGTTGCCATATCATCCAGCAATTCGCACTCCTGGGCATATACCCAGACTAAACTATAATTCGAAAAGATACATTCACCCCTATGTTCAGAGCAGCACTGTTTACAATGGCCAAGACATGGAAGCAACCTAAATGTCTCTGGACAGATGAATGGATAAAGAAGACGTGGTATGTATGTATGCACACACGTACACCCACACACACACACACACACACACACACACAATGGAATACTACTCAACCACAAAAAAGAATGAAATAATGCCATTTGCAGCAACATGGATGCGTCTGGAGATTATCATACTAAGTGAATTAAGTCAGAAAGAGAAAGACAACTACTATATGATATCACTTATATGTGGAATCCAAAATATGACACAAATGAACTTATTATGAAACAGAAACAGACTCACAGACATAGAGAACAGACTTGTGGTTGCCAAGGGGCTGAGGGGATTAAGGAGAGATGGATTGAGAGTTTAGGATTAGCAGATGCAAACTATTACATATAAAATGGATAAACAACAAGGTCCTACTGTGTAGCACATGGAACTATATTCAATATCCTGTAATAAAACCTTAATGGAAAAGAAAAAAAAAGAATGACTGAACACATAAACATACTGAATATATAGAAACCAATAAGTTCATTATAACACTACCACTAAAAATAATAGAGGAAGTCACCTCATACCGATTAGGGTGGCTACTATGAAAAAACAGAAAATAACAAATGCTGGTGAGGATGTGGAGAAATTGGAACCCATGTGCACTATTGGTGGGAATGTAAAATGGTACAGCCACTGTAGAAAACAGTATGGGGGCTCCCCGAAAAATTAAAAATAGAATTACCACATGATCCAGCAATTCCACTTCTGGATATCTACCCAAAAGAACTGATGTTGTACAACACAAGGAATATAGCCAATATTTTACGATAACTATAAATTTTGGAGTATAACCTTCAAAAATTGTGAATCACTGTATTGTACACCTCTAACTAACATAATATTGTACAGCAACTATAATAAAATAAAATAAAATAAAATACTTGATCACACAAAAAAAGAATTGAAAGTAAGGTCCTGAAAAGATATCTGTACACCATGTTGATAGCAGCATTATTCATAACACAACTGGAGGTAACTCAAGTGTCCATCAGTGAATGAATGGATAAACAAAATGTGGTATACACAACAACAGAATATTATTCAGCCTTAAAAAGAAAGGAAATTCTGTCAAATGCTAAAACATGTGTGAACCTTGAAGATATTATACTAAGTGAAATGAGCCAGTCAAAAAGAGACAAACACTGTATGATTCCATTTATGTGAGCTACCTAGAATAGTCAAATTCATAGAAACAGAAAGTAGAATGGTGGTTGCCAGGGGGAAAGGGGAGGGGAGAATAGGGAGTTGTTATTTAATAGGTTTAGAGTTTCAGTTCTGCAAGATGAAAAGAGTTCTGGAAACTGATTGCACAACAATGTGAATGTACTTAACGCTACTAAATTGTACACTTAAAAAATGGTTAAGATGGTAAACTTTATGTTACGTGTATTTTACCACAATTTTTAAAAATAATAGAGGAGGGACTCTCAAAACACCATTTAAGATTGTTGGGGCATCAATTCACTACTGTGAAAACTGTTAACTGAGGGAAACAAATTTATCCACTTTTCCAACATAAACTGTATTTCAGGGTAACCTAATAGCCCTCAAGGAAGAGGAAAAGATTTTATACAGAATTCCAGCTAATAAATGAGAAAGAAATAATAAAATTTAAAACAACCTCCTGCAACTCCTAATAAAATTACTGACTCAAGCAGCAATTATTAACGGCTGCTAAAATCATTAGGTAAAAAGATAGGAAACTTTATAAGGAAGGGATCTGAACATCGCCAACCTAAACTCACTGATCAAGTTTAGCATCATTAAAACGGACACAATCAAGCACATTGTGCCTCCTTGAAGTAATGAATTATGAAGAACACAGATTTCCCATTCCTCAAGACGAATCTAATCAAGTCTTCATTGCTAACTTCTAGTCTACAGATAAAATATGGGGTTTAGAACAAATTAACCGTATGAGGAAGCAATCAAACTCAAAATTATCCTGAAAAATTCTCAGGAAGCAATCAGTGAAACCCAGAATTGTCCTGGAAAGTTCTCAGGACACACGAACCAGTTTCTTCAACAAAACAATGATGTGAAAAATAAGGGGGGGCGGGGGGCCCTTGTTGGGTGGAATAGGAAAAGGTACTGCTCTAGATTGAGAAATTTCAAAGATATAACAAACAAACACAACACTTAGTCCACATTTGGATTCTGATTCAAAACAAGCTCAACTGTAAAAAGACAATTTTGACATGAATGGAAAATTTGAATATGAATTGTATTAGACAATGTTAAGGAACTGTTATTAATTTTGTTAGGTGTGATAATGACATAGTTAAACAAAAGCTTAAGAACAAGAAGAAATAATATCTTTGTGCTGACATCTGCCCAACAAGGTGGCTTGGAATGTAAGGGGAAGGACCCCTCCAGCCACTGCAGAGGGAGGCATAAGTGGTTCAGACTCCCAGGAAGAAGTCAAAGGCCCAAACATGCTGTCCTACAGTCCCTCCAGCAGAGTGGAGCCCTACACCACCCACTGGTCCACTGCCTGCCCCTCATATGGCCTAAAGCTTGGGTACCATCTTGGGAAACCCAAAGCCAACAGCCATCAAGGTTAGATTTTGATCCCAGAACTCAAGCCTTCCCCTTTCCCTGAGACTCTGAGGCCACATTTATTGGCAGGAGATTTTGTGAGAGAACAGAGCTGGACTGAGAAGCCTCACAGCAACCCCTCCCTTTCCCTCTGGGGGGCCCTCTTGTCCAGCTCCCACTGAAGGAGAATGACACAGAGAAGATGCAGGATGAGAAGGGTGCCAGCCTGGGATCCTACACCCAGACTTTAGCCTGCTCAGATTTTAAAAGGCGAGTGAAGAAAAGTGTGGGGGAAAAACCACAGGCACAGGTATCAGACCTTCACTGGCAAAGGTTCTGATCAGATGACCCAGAAGAAGTGATCCTGTCCAAGTCAACCATGCTGGTACAGCAGGAATACCTGAAGCCCCAGAGGAAAGGGCCTTGGGGACCCACACTCCACCTGACTCATTAGAAAGAAAATGCAAACTGAAACAGAGAAGGTGAAGATGAGAGGCAACAGGGACTTACGGCACCCTGCTGGCCCCTTTCAGGGGCTGCCTACTGAATTCTACCTCCTGTCTCTAGCCCAACACTCCCAAGGCTGGTCTCACTCCCAACAACTCGCTGTTCCTCAAACCACTTTGCACCTTCCCATACCTTTGCCCTGTACCTGGAACACCCCTTGCCCCTCCCCCTCCTCCAAACTCATCCCTGCAGGTCCAGCTCAAATGTCATGTCCACGTGGCACCCTCCCTATGCCTGGAACCACGAGGAATCAGTCCCTCTGAGGAACTCTATGCAACTATGTTACAAGCCTGTTTTCAGCCCTTAGCCTGCCGCACACTCTAGCAGTTCGGGTGGGGAGCCCTGCCCTTGCTGAGCCATCGTGAGCTCCTGGAAGAATGGTGCGACTTCCCCCTACGGGCAACCCTGCTCTTGACACAGAGCCTCTGTGCACACGGGGGACACTCGATAAACAAGGGCAGAGCTCATCAAGACACCAACAGGTGCGTGGGTCACTGTGAACTGAAGTAAAAAGAGCTGGTCTGCTTTCCTTCCAGGTCTCTGTGGCCCTGGCTTAGGGAGGCTTGGTGAGGGTCTGGGCTTGGCTAAGTTGTTAAGGGAGCCACCTGGAGAGGGAAGAGAAGAGGCTTCTGGAGGCCTGCTTCTTCAGAGTACCTTGCTAATACAGACAACAACCGACACACAAGGTACCAAAGGGTGTTTTCAGCATGGAATGCCTTAAGTCACACACACACACACACACACACACACACACTCACACACTCATCAAGTTCTCATCAAGCATAACCAAGAATCGGAACAAGAGATAAGGGCAGCTGCTTTCTTAGTAGTGAGAACAGAGATGAAGGGAAGAGGCCCCAAAGCCTTTGACTCAGGGCCCACATGTCAGTCTACTCTCCTTCCACATCAACCCTGCTACTGGCCCTATGACGGCTTCTCCAAAGGGATTCTGCAAAAACAGCTACGTCCACCGTAGGGCACAACAACTTGGTAAAGACAAGGTTCTTAGAAGTACAGACAGAGGCGCAGGGCAGTGATGCATCTATGCACTTGGCAGAGGCCCCCAAGTTCTTTGGGCACGTGCAAGGACTGTGTTGACAGCTGCCAGAGACCAGGGGACCATCCAGCAGAGCCCTAGCCCCGGCCCAACAATGGACCCTGAGAGCCCACTGGAGTGGGAGCGGAGTGTCCATAAATACACTCGTTAAATCTTCAGGGTCTCCCCTCAGTTGTGGGCAGGATGCTTTTCCCAATAAACACCAAGCACTAAATATCCAGGTGGGTCGCTAACCAGCAAGCCAGATTCCTCTTCTAGGACTCTTAAGATGCCACACTGCCCCACATCAGTGAGCTTCTCTCTCCATGCCCAGTCATGGAACCGTGCGAACCAGGGGCCTGACAACTATCACAGAGAGGGTATGCTTACCAGTCCCTCGGTTTCCTCCGTCATCCTCTGGAAATGTGCAGCCATAGCCATGTAGTCTCGCATCTGCTTGTGACATTCGAGACACTTGATACTGTGCCGGATGAGCCTCACAGGGTCTGGGTAGAGCGGCAAAGCTGGAAGTGGGGGGCTGGCACTGCTTGAAGTGAGGCCATGTTTGGGGGAGGAGGGGTGAGCCGGGGTTGCTGGTGCCATGGAGTTCGCGGGGGCCGACACGAACATTTGGTCCGCAGAGATGGGCTTCACAAGCAGCTGAGAGCACTGCATGACGAGACCCTTGCTCTTGTGGTCACGGGCATGCCGGAGCAGGCTGCACTTGTTGAAGAAGAGCAGCGTCTGGGAGCACAGTGTGCACAGCACCTCGATGTGGACACTCCGCCGGCCGTAGTGCTGGCTCAGGCTCTTCTCTAAGGCAAACGCATCCCCACACTCCAGGCAGCAGTACCCACTGGCCGGCACGTGGATCCTGCTGTCCGCAGGCGGGCTGAGATTTGGCGCATAGAGGGGCACGGGGTTGGAGCTGTGGAGGACCTTGTTGAAGACCTCCACAACCAGTGGGGCGGCCTTTTTCACCTGGTGGACCAGGGGCACCGACATCTGCGTGAGCTGTGGCTGGCTCCGCCTCTGTGCTGAGGACTTGGCCGTCACGGACGCGGCCACACTGTGGGGGACCAGATTCAGGTTGGCCAGGTGCACGGCTTTGGGCAGGAGGTTGGCAGGGGCCAGGGTGGATGCCTGCAGTGCTGTGCTCTGCTGCTGCTTCTTGCCCATCTGTGAGCTCGAGGCAGCCCCCTTTGGGCCCCGGGACCCAGAGCTGCAGCAGGAAGTTGAAGATTCACTGGCTTTTGTCATGCTCTCATCCCCCTTCCTGTCACCCTGAGGGCTCCCTGAATTTGTGCCCACCTCAAGAAAGTGCTCCGCCCCAGACAGGGCAGTGACCTCATCCTCTTGCACCTCGCTCGGGGCCTCAGCAATGGCGCTTCCTAGAGGTGACCCAGCAGGGGACTTACTGAGATCGTCAGGGTCTGGCAGGATCCTTGTGACAGTCCGTTTGATTTCCCCTGATGATGTCTTAATGGTTTTGATTCTGACTTTGGGAATTGCTGGTGGGGAGCTGGCAGCCACAGAAGGGGAGCCTTTGCTGCTGCTGTCACTGCAGATGCTCCGAGGGCTGTCTGATGGCTTGATACTTTTTCTAGTGGCCTCCAGAGGGCTCCGGGGACTCTTTGGTGACTTGGGCATTTTGGGGCTGCCTTTGGAGCCCTCTTTTGTGGGCCCTGAGGGATCCTTTGTGTGGGTAGGCTGATCCTCCTTGGTGACACTGGCCACTCGTTTAGCCTGCAGGGCCACCAAGGCTGCAACACAAGAGGACAGCTTGGAATGAGCTGGCTTAAGACGCTGCCTAGGGGGCACTGACGAGCAGGTACCTAGCTCCGAGGCAAGCCCCTTAGGCTCTCCGATACTGTGGCCGGGGTGGCTGTTGAACTCCAAAGCTTCCCCAAAGAATCGACTGGTATCCAGCTCCTTGTGAGGTTCCACTGCCTTCTGCCCACCTTGCTCGTGCTCCTGCTGACTCCCCAGGGACGGGGGTTCTGGCTTGGGCTCTTTCTTACAAAAGTGATCAAACATATGCAGCTCTGGGACTGGAAACTTAGTCAGAGCCTCCAGGACCGGGCCCCCCACAGACTCACACCCAGGAGGGGGTGGGAAATAACTGTCAGAGTGCTTGGGCTTTATCCCAAACCCATTATCTTTGATGGCATCCTCGGGTTCGGGGCTGGAGATTGGACTGAACTGGTTAAAAGTTGGTAAGGGCTCTGACTTGGAAGGTTCCAGCTTGCCGGGGAAACTCCTGGTACTATCTCCATTCATGAAAGTGGAATCAAACTTCCCACAGTTGTGGCCTAGGTTGTGGGGATCTGGAGGCAGGTCCGAGCCCCGGAATCCATTGTGTAGGAGGCTGGGAGCGACGTGGTCTTTCTCCGCTTCAAATGACTCCTGGCGGCTGGTGTTCTTGACGATGACACTCACGGCTGGCACATCTGAGGCTGATCCTGAGTGAGACAAGGACACATTCTCATCCATACACATGCCTGGAGGTTTGAGGGGACTCTCATTCTCCTCACTGGGGGTCTGGATGGCCTCCTTGGCATCAAGGCTGGTGGGGTCTGGGATGTCAAAGGCAGCCAGAAGGTCATCAAAATCTGGAGTTTTCATATCCCCCATGGCTGGATGCTGGCAAGGGCTGTAACAGAAACAGAGAACAGAATCAGTGATCACCAGGATCCCACTGGGCTCTGTCCAGCATCATCTTCATCACAAACCCATCTCGCTAACACGCATGCAGCCAGCACGCACATGCACAAATCCCCACGCTATGGGAAGTCACACACCTGAGTTTTACCCCAACAGGTTTCCAAAATGCTGGGGACATTGGGGGAGGAGTGGAAAGAAAAGTTAGTATGTAGTGACAAGCCTGCCTGGCAGGCTCTACACATTAATACCTTGAAATTCCTGGTTGGTTGCAGAGCCAAAAAGAGGGTACACTCACACCACACTCTCTCAATTTCTCAGAGAATATCATCACTTGATGATCATAAGCATTAGCAAAAAACCAATCACTCAGCCCTTAAAAAAAAAAGCATGGCTTAGCACCTCCGTTCTTTAGAAAACTTCTGATTCATATGAGACTTGGCTATAACTTCTGCTAATTTACTCTTAGTAATTAATCATTAACTTTGTATAACTTGGTTTTTTGCTGCATGAATCCAAGCAAATCCAAAATGATTTACCACTGCCAGGATTAAACAAGCTCTAGCAGATTATGTCATCCCCTAGGTATTTTTTTCTCTAGTCAGTGTCTGCTTGATTCCTTAATTTTCACCCCAAATCTGTTATTGGTTGGTGAATGGATCACTAAACCTGAGGGACAGGGTGACTCTCAAAGAAACACACAGTTATCAAACTGGCCAGAGAATAGTTTTAGAGAAGCCCTAAATTTTATTTTAACTTAATACACAAAGGAAAGAAAATCCACCTGTTTCCTTCATGATCTGTAGAAGCAGAGCTACAAAAACTACTGCAAAGGAGGAAACCCAAGGCGCTATGAAAGAGGCCTTCCCTTAGGAAGTTACTAAAATACTCACACTTAGATAAGACATGAAGCTGCCTGGCTCAAACCTGCTGGAAAGAGGAAGAAAAAAACCCACTGTCTCCCTTGTTCAGCCCATAAATCCTGCATCTGCTTCAGCATCCCAGAGCCTTATTTGCGTAAGTATTTCCTACACCATGTTTGTACTGAAAGCCTTTGTGGATGCAGATTGACACAACTCTTTTAGAAAGCAATACAGTAGCTGCACAGAACCAGATCAGGGGCAGATCCTTGGGTCCAGGAACCCCACGGCCAGAAATTTATCCTAAGAACAAAAATTCCCAAAAGCTATATGCAAAAGTATACAGCATTATTAAAACAACACAAAAAGGAGACACCCACATACACACAAAGAATCTAAATGTCCAAGGACAGGGAATGGTTAAGTAACTGATAGACTATTATGTAGTTATTAAAAATCCCAATTATGAAATCTATGTAGCAACATGAAAAATTACTTACAGTGTTAAGATTAAAATAAAAAACACATATAAAAATGTTGTCAAACTATGACAATGTAAAACTAAGTATCCATTTGAGCCAAGAGTAAAAGAGAAAAGTAATTTATGCAGGGTGGTGGGATCACTGGTGTGTTAATTTTTCACAACTTTTGTGTGTGTGTGCTGGTAGACTGCCTTTATAATTTTAAAAAGGGAAAATAAAGAAAAGAACAAAAATTAGAACCACAGGGGAACAGCTGGCAGAGATATAGCTATTGCCATCCCATGGGATCAACAGGCTTGCAGGTTTGGTTTCTTGTCCCACCCCACCAAGCCCCAACAAAACACATCTGCCTTCTTAAGAGTTCTCACGGAAAATGAAACAGACCGCCCCATTGGGAAGATATCTAATTATGGTAGATACTAATAAAGTGAAATACCAGTTAACTAAATATGAGTGGGCAGAATATCTCGCTGAAATGAGATGTAAAGTTTCTGGACAACAAATGATGGTTTGGTGGAATAAAACTGTTGGAGCCCATAAGCGAGAGGAATATACTGGATATCAGTGGAAGCAATCAGCATCCCAATACCAAGTGAACTACTTTGCAGGCTGATCCCAACTATAAGGAAACACCTATGTGGTATTTGCTTTATAAGCTTATCTCCAACTTCCCCCCACCCCCCTTCAGTCTAGGAAAAAAAGATTGAGGGAGAAGGGTGGAATAGATTAGTCTTCTTAAGGGGCTGGGAAAAGCCTGTGGGGGAGGAGGGGTAGTAGCTGGCAGTGTGTGCAAGGATTATCGAGAAGCCTACTACTGTTTAACTCCAAGTCACAGAGGCTTGAAGCAGAGAGATACAACATGAAAGTAATGATGTTCTCCACACAGAGAAATCTCAGGGATTGGCCAAGAATGGTCAGAGGTCAGAGCAAAAGGTATCTTTTGCTAGGAAAATCAGAGCTAATAAATGGTGTGGCAGCTCAACATCAGCAGCAGGAAAAACTTTTATAACCTTTGAATTTTAAATACCAAGGCTGATACTTTTAAAAGCCAAAGATCAAATCCTGTTTTCTATTTAGCCCTAGTAAGGACAACCAAAATCAGCAGCAATCGATAACTGTTAAAAGACTTACAGTGGGGGACTTTCCTGGTGGTCCAGTGGTTAAGATTCCGCGCTCCCAATGCAGGGGGCCCGGGTTCGATCCCTGATCAGGGAACTAGATCCTGCACGCTGCAACTAAGACCTGGTGCAGCCAAATAAATAAATAAATAAATATTTTTTTAAAAAAAGACTCACAGTGTGCCCAAGTGTCTGTATTTCTTTAAACTCTGCTCTAAAGTAAGTATCGCATTGTTTATAAGTAGAAAGTAGAAATTAATCAAAATGTACCCTGTTATAAAAGCAAAGGAGAGGGACTTCCTTGGTGGCGCAGTGATTAAGAATCCGCCTGCCAACGAAGTGAGAGAGTGGCACTGACCTATATACACTAGCAAATGTCAAATAGATAGCTAGCGGGAAGCAACCACATAGCACAGTGAGACCAGCTCGATGCTTTCTGACCACCTAGAGGGGTGGGATAGGGAGGGTGGGAGGGAGATGCAAGAGGGAGGGGATATAGGGATATATGTATACGTACAGCTGATTCACTTTGTTACACAGCAGAAACTAACACAACAATGTCAAGTAATTACACTCCAATAAAGATGTTTAAAAAAGAATCCGCCTGCCAATGCAGGGGACACAGGTTCGATCCCTGGTCCGGGAAAATCCCACACGCCACGGCGCAACTAAGCCCGTGCGCCACAACTACTGAAGCCCGTGCACCTAGAGCCCATGCTCAGCAATAATAGAAGCCACCACAATAAGAAGCCCAAGCACCAAAGGGCAGCCCCTGCTCACCGCAACTAGAGAAAGCCAGCGCGCAGCAAAGAAAACCCAACGCAAAAAAAAAAAAAAAAAAACCAAAGTAGAAAAAAAAAAGCAAAGGAGAAACTGCAAAGAAAAAGACTACCAATAAAAAGTTCTATTCATCAAAAACCTACCAACACATAGTTAAAAAGCAAACAACCAAAAGGAATATTTGCAACGTATAATAATTACTATCATTAATATCTTTATTAATATGTAAAAGGTCCTTAAAAAGTAGTTAGTAAAAGATAATCAACATATTAGAAAAATAAGCAAAAGTGATGAGCAGGCACTTAAAAAAAGAACAACCACAAATGGACAATTCATGCATAACAAAAGTTGCAACCTCACAAAAAATAGAGAAACACAAATTGAAATAATGAGAAGCATTTTTGGCTTATTAAATTGACCAAAGTTTTCAAAAACTAATAATCCCCAGTGTTGGCAGAGATGTAGCAAAATAAGCATTTTGAAAGTAACAGAAATTGATACAACCTGTCTAAAGAGCAATTTAGCAATACATACATAAGGCTCAATAATTCCACTTCCAGTTATTTATCCTAAGGAAATAGAGATGCATGTGACAAAAATAATCATTACAGAATTATTTATAACAAAATTATTTTATAACAAAAAATGAGACACAACCTAAAGTCCCAACAATAGGAAGTTGGTTCAATAAATTATGGTCTATTTACACAATTAAATACTAGGCATCATTATAGATCAATATTTAAGACTATGAGAAATGCTCCTAAAATGAAGAAAAAAGATACTGAAGTGTACACACAGTACAATCTCTATTTAAAACAAAAAAAATTTTTTTACTATACATAGTTCTTATGAAAAAGCCTAGAGGAATACTCTAAAATGTCAAAAATATCTCAACAGATAATGAAATTATTTTCTTTCCTTTTTATCTACATTTTCAAATTATTTATTCAAACGATTTATTTCCAATTTTATTGCTTAAGTAATTTTATTAAATTATATTTTTAACCTATGAAAAGAAGAAATTAGGCAGGCCAAAAAAATTTGAGGCATTTGAGGCTTCCTTGGTGGCGCAGTGGTTAAGAACCCACCTGCCAATGCAGGGGACACGGGTTCAAGCCCTGGTCCGGGAAGATCCCACATGCCGCGGAGCACCTAAGCCCCATGCGCCACAACTACCAAGCCTGTGCTCTAGAGCCCTCGTGCCTAGAGCCTGAGCTCCACAACAAGAGAAGCCACTGCAACGAGAAGCCCACGCACTGCAATGAAGAGTAGCCCCCACCCACGCAACTAGAGAAAGCCCGCATGCAGCAACAAAGACCCAACGCAGCCAAAGGTAAATAAATAAAATAAAATAAGTAAATTTATATAAAAAAAAAAATTTGGGGAGCTTCTTACAGAGGACTCTAAAAATCATCACTATAAAACTCTTTAAGCACATCTGGCATGACTCAGCAAGGGACTGCCAGCTAGAAAAATAGGTGAAGTAACTTCATTAAAATGAAAGGTGTAGTCAAAATAAAAAGCTTCAGCATTACACCAGTGTCTGCAACTTGTTGCAAGCAGCTGAAGTTGGAAAGAGCAAACCACAGACGGCTGCCTGCCTACCTTGCCTGGGGGCAGTCCTCAGGACCCAGAGGTGATGGCCCCTGCCCCATGTCCACAAATTACAGCCTAGGAACCATGGCTCACCCTGCAGAGCACTCAGCAGGGTTTACCCTGAAGCATCTGAACAAGCTAGATCCACACATGGTGAGCTCACCCAGTGATCTAGAATGGCCTAGTCAACAGACAAGGCAGGCTCCCCGGTTCTCTGAGCCCTAGGCCAAGAGCAAATTTCACTCAAAGGTGAGAAGGTGGAACCATGCTACGATACATACAACCCCCTTGGGGGTGAACTGGCAGACTGACGCTGTATCCTCTCAGGGTAAGTTTCTATTCAGGGAAGATCTGGAAACTAAAAAAAATGTTAAAGTGAATATAAATACCCAGTATTTATTACAGGGTCTACTAGCTGCCCAGGAAATCTTGCCAAACAGTTAAATAAACATATCAACTAGGTGAGAGGGAGGGAAGAACACCTTAATTTTAAAACGGCCTCATCAGGCCTAATTAACCTATTCGAATTCTTTGAGGGGATAAAAACAATATGATTATGGAAGAACTAGTAGGCAGAATTTCTAATGCCAAAATTCCACCAAAAAAACAACAAACTGAATTCCATGTTGCATGTATGTTTGTCTTTATGTGATTGTCACTTATGGGAAACCATGAACGACCGTGTTTTTCAACCCATTGACCAGTTCTGGACTGGAGCTCAATGCTTTCATAAATTGCCTAGAATGATAGTTCCCAACCCACTGGGGACCCAACTTCATATCCACAAATGTGTTCCCAATGACCAGCCATTAAAAACACCACTACTGAATGAGAGTCCATGAAAAAATTAATTTGAAAAGGAGATCTCAATGCTTTGGGAACCAATAATCTAGCAGAAAAACATTAGGCTGTAAGATTCATGAGGGAAGAGACTTATCTGTCTCATTCACCACTGCATTCTCCATTAGGCAGTCAATAAATATTTGTTGAAGCAATAAAATGAAACCTTCAAGACTGCAAATGGCCTAAAAGCTGTTCCAGAAATGAAAATGCGAAATTAAAAGACAAGTTCTAAGGAGGCTGTATGAATAGGCGAAATTATGGCAAAGTAGCATTAGTGAAAGCAAATGTGAAGGAACGTTTAGGGAAAAGCAATTCCAATTATACTAGAATGTACATGGTTATGGTTAGAATAATGGGTTCTAAGCTAAACTGTTCAATAAAGAAGCATCAGCTTAGACTGTTCCCTTAAGACACCATGTTGCATGTTTCATCACAAAAGGCCCAGAAAACACTGGGCATTATCAGAAAGGACACTGGAAACAAAATAAAACTTGTGATCCTGCCCTTATTCACAACCACTCAGTGTCCACAGAGAGATGTGCGGAGCAGTTTTGGCTCCCCACACTTGAAGAAAGATGTACCAGGGCTTCCCTGGTGGCGCAGTGGTTGAGAATCTGACTGCTAATGCAGGGGACACGGGTTCGAGCCCTGGTCTGGGGGGATCACACATGCCGCGGAGCAACTAGGCCCGTGAGCCACAACTACTGAGCCTGCGCGTCTGGAGCCTGTGCTCTGCAACAAGAGAGGCCGTGATAGTGAGAGGCCCGTGCACCGTGATGAAGAGTGGCCCCTGCTTGGCACAACTAGAGAAAGCCCTCGCACAGAAACGAAGACCCAACACAGCAAAAATAAATTAATTAATTAATAAACTCCTACCCCCAACATCTTCTTAAAAAAAAAAAAAAAAAGAGAGAAAGATGTACGAGAGTTGGAAAAGGTCCTGAGAAATGAGACTGAGCTTTCTAATAAGAGCCTAAAAATTAGAACTCTATTTTATTCTAGAGAGATGAAGATTTAGGGGAAAGGGGGAACATAATTGAAGTATAGGTTTGTTCATCAAGCCTCAAACACTAGCGAGCAGAGGGCAGCATTTTTGAAGTTTGAAGTAAATAAAAGATATAGACCAAAACCAACAACAACAACTTAATCCATTAGTCAGAAAATATACTGATATTGTTAAAGGTAAAATATATAAATGTAGTAACATCCACACTTATTCAAATCTAGAATTTTTTTTTTAAAAGGCTCTGAGAAACTAAAAACAAGGAATTGTCACTAAATCCATGAGCTTTCTTTCCCTCAGCATTGAAGCCTTTGAATTTCAAATAACGTTAAACTTGGTCACCTGTTTTTCTTTTTTTTTTTTTTTTTTTTGCGGTACGCGGGCCTCTTCCTGGACCGGGGCACAAACCCATGTCCCCTGCATCGGCAGGCGGACTCTCAACCACTGCGCCACCAGGGAAGCCCCACCTGTTTTTCTTAATAATATTAAGTTCAGCAATAACAGAACATCAAGGGGGCAGAGACACTCCAAATTTAAGAAAAGTCTGATCTCTATTCAGTATATTCTGTCTAATGAAACAAGGAAACAAATAACATCACAGATTTATACGATGAAAATGAAAGACCACATGATTTACGGAACACTGGGCTGTGAAACAACAAAATTGTTTCCTTTTATTTGCCACCTTGTTGGATGAGGACTAGAAGGAAGGATGAGTATGTATGTTTTACAACCTGTAGGTGAACTCTTTACCCTACTGCCCCACATGACTGAATATGGCGTAGATATTGACATAAACTGTGTTCAATTATTGTTATAACAGTTAAGAGTTTAAAAATGGATAAATAGGGGCTTCCCTCGTGGCGCAGTGGTTAAGAATCTGCCTGCCAATGCAGGGGACGCGGGTTCGAGCCCTGGCCCAGGAAGATCCCACATGCCGCGGAGCAACTAAGCCCACGCGCCACAACTACTGAGCCCGCGCTCTAGAGCCCGCGAGCCACAACTACTGAGCCCGTGTACCACAATTACTGAAGCCCGCACACGTAGGGCCTGTGCTCCACAACAAGAGAAGCCACCGCCATGAGAAGCCCGTGCACCACAACGAAGAGTAGCCCCCACTCGCCACAACCAGAGAAAAGCCCACGTGCAGCAACAAAGACCCAATGCAGCCAAAAATAAAATAAATTTATAAAAATAAATAAATAAATAAAAATGGATAAATAAAATTTCCCCCAGCTTTCTATTTCAGAAGGAACATCCCAGGGGATAATAAAGCAAAAAATAACTCAAACTGTATGAGACACAGAGAGAGAGAGAGAGAGAGAGAGAGAGAGAGAGATTATTTAGCAGACCCTAAGAAAGTACTTGAGTTTGTTCCCAGGTGGGAGAACTTCTGTACCAGGAATGGAAACTGGGCAAGGGAAAAGAGAGAATGAGCAAGCAAGCACAAGAGCAAGCTGCTACTCCCATGACTTGCAGGAACTTCAATCTGGACTCTGGCTGGAACACTGATCAGAAAGAGACACTGCTTCTATGGGTGGTAGAGAAGGGAGCTCAGTGAAACTTTAGCTGGATCAAAGGGAACAGAAAAAAAGAGTTCCATGTTCCTGGACCCAGAATGAAGCCCCAGACTGGGAATAGTAGAGCTAAAAGAATAAGAAATTGTGAACCACAGAGAACTAGCTTTCACCCCTATGCTGTCACCAATTACCTATGTAAGGATCTTAGGCAGGCCTTGGTTTAATATGTAAAATTAAACTAACTTGAAGGGTCTCTGAGACCTTGAACAGGCTAGGCTACAACAGCTGGGCAAATTAATCTAGAACTATTGGATTTCTACATAAAACTTAAGTCCTAAAGTAGACAAGCAGACTCTCTGCCACATATATACTACCGCCCTCCTGAATACACATCTGAGGCCTTCTTATAGGTCTAAGTGATCCCAAGTCACAGACATTCTGAGTCAATCAGTGGTCAATGCTTCATTTCATGAGGCACCTGGCATTCTAATCATTAGCAAAGAACAGCCCAAAGAGATTCTCAGCAGTATACAAGAAAACAGGTGCCCCAACAGACCCAGGCAAAACAACAAAGCGTTTCACGTGTCTTTTCCTCTATCTGGTCTTAGTCCTGCCAATGCATATTTTGCCAGAATGGTTGCTGTAAAACACTTATCTGATCACAGAGACGTCCCAGTTCAAAATCCCCATCACCTTCAGTAAGTAAACTCTTCTTCCAGCGTGCAGAAGCCATTCCCATCTGTTCTGTGTCCACCTCTCCAGCCACTTCCCAGGGTACATTTCAGTCACTGGTGTCAGAGCTTGAGCTGTTCCTCCTGAGTGGCCCCAAACATAAATCTGCCCGAGAACTCCTCCTCATCCCCAAGCTCCTGTTCCAGGGCCCCTCCTCCTGGATGCCTTCTCTGAGTCCTCTGCCCTTCCCTTCCTCCCTTCCTCTATGGCAGCACTTCCCACAGTAGGCTGGGATCCTAAGTTTTCTCATCAGTCTGTGAGTCTCCCGAAAATTGGGGTCATATCCTTTACCTCTATGTCCAGGGCCTAACACACCTGGTTCCCAATGTTATGGGGGCTGTCACTGCTCCCACCCCTCCCAGAACCTTTCCTTGAAGCCTCTCCAAACCCTGGCTGATACACCTGTCCCTGCCTGCCCTGCCCAAGATGTCCATCACCCAGAGGCAGCTTCTCTTCTCCCTGTCTAAGCCCTTCCACCCCAACCAAAAATTCCATTTCCCAAGAACAGAATTGCAGTGCAAGCATTCTAACAAGACTCACAGGATGTTAGAGCTGAAGTGGACCTCAGAAATGACCTGGTCCAGTGGCTTCCAAATGCCCGTCTGCAGACTGCTGCTGGACTGACTGCAAAAGAATAACATGGGGAGTGACTTTAAAACACAGAATCCCAGGCTCCACTGTGGAAATTCTGATTCAGTAGGCCTGGGATGGATCCTTGCATTTTTTTAAAAAGCTTCCCAGTTGATTCCAGGGCACTGGTCTAGTCCAACCTCTTCATTTTATACATGAAGAACTGAGGCTCAGAAAGGGGAAGTTCATCCATCAAATAATTACCAAATGCCAAGACTTATGCCAGGCACTGAGGACACAAAGGGAAGGCCCAGACCCTGTTTTTGAGTGCCCTCCCCTCCACAACCCACTGAAAACACCTCTCAACCACATACCTGTGAGTGCCACCAAAGGCTCATCAAGGGGACACAGGCTTCCTACAAGCAAGGAAGGGAAAGGGACTTTCTCTGACTGCCCTTGTCAGAAGTCATCTCATCCTCCCTTGTGCTCCCTTTTGTTTTACTTATTTCTCCTCATAATTTTCTACCTTTAATGTAGTACCTTTAAACTACCTTTAATGTAGCTTACCAGTAAAATGTTCTCTCTTCTGCTATTTCATAAGCCCCTCGACAGGCACTCACTGAACCATTAATTAATTGGTATCCCTCGATTCTAGACTTGGATTTCTACTTGGATAGGCATCTCAAATCTAATATGTCCAAAATCTAACTCTTGGATTTCCTCCTACATTCTTTCTCATTTCAGTAAATGACAACTCAGTCCTTCCAGTTGCTTGGGCCAAACCTTGGCATCTTTGAGTCCTCTCTTTCCCTCATACCCTTCATCCAATCCATAAGCAAATCCCGTCAACTCTACTTCCAAAATGTAACCAAATCCAACCATTTCTCACCACCTCCAACCATCTTCTTTTCTCTCCTGGATTCCCACAAAAGCCTGATGACTGGTCTCCTTGTCTCTCCTCTGCCTCTACTACTCACTCGCAACACAGCAGCCAGAGTGCTGCTTTTAAATCATCCACCAGATCATGTTCCTCCTCTCCTTAAAACCCTTCAACACCGTCCCACCTCACGCAGAGTGAAATCCAGTCTTCACCCCAGCCTACATGGCCAGGACGATCTAACTGCCCTCTGTCTCCTACACCTCTCTGTTACCAGTCTGCTCCAGACTCCTTACTGCTCCTCAACCAAGCAGGGCATACTCCTGCTCAGAGCCTCTACACTTACTATTCCCTCTGCTTGGAATGTTCTTCCCCTCAGATCTCTGTGGGCCCACTCCTCACTTCCTTCAGGTCTTTATTCAAACACCACTTTCTCAGGAGCCTTCTATGACCATTGTGCATAAGATACCAATCCCCACCCTCACCATCAATCTCTGTCCCTTTAGTCTGCTTTGTTTTTCTTCACAGCCCTTATAGCATCTGACACATTATATAATTGCTCATTTATTTATTTTCTGTGTGTAAGCTCCACTATGTTTACTAGACAGTAATCCACCATTAGAAAGGGGGAATGATGTGACAGGCTCATCTGTCCAGAACGAAGATTGTTCAAGGATAGTCACAGATTCCTAAGCAAGTTTATTACCAGTCAAGCAGCTGGCAAATTTGCTACACTGTTTGTATTTAGCTTTTGAAAACTTTTTATAAATAGAGAGACCTTGGGTGGTGATGGGGCCTTGCCAGTGGGAAAGGGTCTATCTGAAGTCACACTTGTCTATGAACCCTGGGCCCCCGCAGGACTAAGTTAAATATTATATTTTATTGGTGTTAAGTGCCTACTGGCCATTGTCCCCACAATAGGGTCATCTGTCTTGAGGACTGGATCAGTGTGACGCCAGTGGAGGGGGAAGGCTAGCTCTGAGGACCGCAGGGAAGAGGAGAACACAAGGTGGTCTTGAGTCTTAAGACAAGAGGATACAACTCTGTGAACACACCAAAAACCACTGAATTACGCACTTTAAATGGGTAAACTGTATGACACGTGAATTATATCTCAATAAAGCTGTTAGATTTTTAGAAAAGATAAAAAGGAAGAAAAGAGGATAGAACTGAAAGGAATTGGGATTATAAAAGACTGTACAATTGACTGGGATGATACAAGTGGAAACTAGGCATAGGCAACAAAGTTTAAGCAGAGCTAAGAACTGAGATAAAAACTGATACTTTGTAACCAGTACCCCCTTTTCCTTTCATTACTTGAAACAGATCTCAGCACTAAGGGACACTGCACTTTGTTAAAAGGGAACAAGACCCTGAGACAGAAAAAAGAGAGACAGGACTCCTCTTGTTCACACACCATCCTTGAGGAGTTTCCCCCCACTGAACTTTGTAAAAGCATCATCTCTTGGTAGTAGGGATCCCCAAATTTAGGTAGGAAGCCAGTAGCCTCAGACCTGCTGGGAACCAAGCCTCCACTCCCCGAATAAAAGGGCCCCAGAAAAGAAAAAGTGGCCATTCCGCAGATCACTCCTTCCCCAGCTCTGGTACCCCTGTGTTTGGTGGCTCTGGGTGTGCCACCAATCTCATCTACCACAGGCAAACCACAGTCCCAAATATCCCGAAATTAAAAGGTTGGGGTGGGGGGGCAAATGTACTATTAGTATTGGGGTGTCTCTTCAGTTCCCTTAGGTCACTAAGGAGTTTAGGAGCTGGTGAGTCAAGGGCCTGGTAAAGGATGCCTCTCTCAGGTACTCTACTCTCACTCCCCTTTTCTTTTTCTCACACCTCCACACCTCCACACCTCCACACCTCCACACACACACACACACACACACACACACACACATATACTCTTCTCCTTCCTGTTCCTCTCTCTCCCCCTACTCCTTCCTCCATGCCCCTCTCCATTCCTCCGTCCCTTTCTCTCTTCCCCCTTCTTGTCTCCCTCACAGATGTTCTTCTTTATCCCCTTCTTCCTCTCTCTTCTCTCCTTCCCCTCTCAAAAGAGATCCGGGTGGGCTCTTTCACCATGACTGCTCAGACCCAAGTGCAGCCAGCCTCCTGCAGGAAAGCAGGGCGCCAGCCACGGCAGCTTTTCACCAACAACCCAGCATGGCAACGGACCCAACATCCAGGTATCTGCGATGTGTGCCCACTGCATATGTCCCTGGTGATCCAAGGGAATGACAGAAAATAATGTGTTCAAAGGACATCCCTATGTGCCCTTCCACCATCAGAAAAAATGGAATATTAAAAGTCCTTATCTTTTTAAGATATTATCTGTGAAATGTTCACAGATAAAATGATGTGATATCTGGGATCTGCCTCAAAATAACACAGGGCAGGAGGAAGAGAGCAGGGAGGGCATGTATAAATGAGACAAGATTGGCCATGAAATGGTAACTGTTGGATCTGCATGAGGAGTACATGGGAGTTTATCATATTATTTTCTCTACATATGCACATTCCAGCACACTAGGAACCAGACTCTTCGATAGTGGACTCTATGGGTGCAACTAGCTAACCACCAAGATCACACCCATTAGGATGGCTATTATCAAACATAACAGAAATAGCAAGTGTTGGTGAGAATGTGGTGGAGAAACTGGAATCCTTGTGAATCGCTGGTGGGAATGTACTGTAGCCACTATGGAAAACAGCATGGCGGTTCCTAAGAAAAATTACACATAGTGGATATAACGCTTCCACTTCTAGGTATATACCCAAAAGAATTGAAAGGGGTCTCAAAGAGGTATTTGTACATCTATGTTCATAGCAACATTATTCACAATATCCAAAAGGTGAAAACAACCCAAGTATTCATCAATGGATGAACGGGTAAACAAAATGTGACATAAATATAAAAGGGAATATTATTCAGCCTTTAAAAAAGGAATGAAGTTCTGATACATGCTAAAACATAGATGAACCTTAAAGGCATTATGCTAAATGAAATAAGCCATACACAAAAAGGACAAATATCGTCTGATTCCACTGATATGAGGTACCTAGAGCAGTCAATTTCATAGAGACAAAAAGTAGAACAGTGGTTACCAGGGGATAAAGGGGAGAGAGGAAAAGGGGTTGTTATATAATGGGTGAAGAGTTTCAGTTTGGGATGATGAAAAGGTTCTAGAGATGGACGGTGGTGATGGTTATGTGAATGTCCTTAATGCCACTGAACAGTACATTTGAAAATAGTTAAAATGGTGTAAATCAACTATACTTCAATAAAAATAATAACAAAAACACTAATAAAAAATTCTTGGATACCCTTAAAGTATGGTTAAAATGGTCAATTTTCTTATGTATGCTTTACCACAATTTTTAAAAATAATGATAACTACCAAGGAACATTGAAAAAAGAAAAAACCACTTGTGTCCAAACTCTCAGCTCTTCAAGGCCAGCTCAGGTCAGCCTAGACATCATGCCTCAGTGAGGTTCTCAAAACAAGGGTGTGGTGAGTACTGCTGGGAGTGTACAGCTGTGGAGAAAGGAATAACTTCTACCTATAGGCACATGGTCTAGTTTCCAAACACCACCTAAGGAAAGAAGAAAAATAAGATGTTTTTTAATAGGTCTGAAGGCAAATGTAATTAAAGTAAGTTAATAATAATAACAATAAAGTGTAGGTCAGACCCTGAGAAGAATCTCCAAACCTAATTCAAAGCGGGCCTCAAATGTAGTCAAAGATAGTACTATCCCCAGTCCCAGATCTTCTCCCTTTCGCCTAGCATAGTGTGCTGGTTCAGAGCCCAGACTTTACGTGGGTTCAAATCCCAGTTCTACTACTTGCTAGCCATGTGACCTTGGCCAGGTTCCTTCACCTCTGTGTCTCAGTTTCCCCGTAAGTAAAATGGGGGTTATAGGGGTTAAATGAGTTAATATTTGTAAAGCTCTTACAACACTGCCTTAAACATAGCAAATACACATGTTTGTTAAGTATTCTGCCACCAGCCTCAGTGGCCAGCAAGCTTTACCTCATAATTTTTCAGAGTGCCCCTGCAGACCACTGAATCCCTAGACGTCAGGCTGATTGGATGCATGCACAGGGGACAGAGACAGGGCAAGTGAAGGTCGTTTACCCCTCCTCACAGCTCATCCTCCAGTGCTCAGGAGGGCTGAAGAAGCAGAGGATCAAGGAGTGAGCAAGGGAACCAAGGGGCAGGTAGGCTGGGGGAAAGTCACAGGTGGGGGAGAGGCAGGGAAGGGACAAGCACCAAGCAGGGGATGAGAATAAGAGAAGACATGGGGAAAGCTGGCAGACCCTTTTTTTTTTTTTTTTAATCTAAGTGGTCCTCAATTGTAACTGGACATCAGAATCACCTTGGGAACTTTGGAAACTACTAATGCTTGGCCACAACCTCCCAAGATTCCAATTTTATAGGCCCGTGTGGAGAAACTAGTTAACAGTCCATCAGGTGCATGTACCCACAAATGACAGAATAAAGAGTCTCTTTTCTAATTCCGCTCACTCTCACTGTAATTCTGCGTTCCCTCGCTTGACTTCATTTGTCTTAACTTTGACAGACCAGCATTTATTTGGATTCTAAATAGAGATATAGACAATATTAATGGAAAAACTTACAAGGGAATGGAAGGAAACTCATTATTCCAATTCTATAGAAGGGAAATACAGAAAACTTTTTTTCCTTTTCTTATTTGGATCTTCACATTTCAAAACATAAACTAACAAGCAGACACTGTGCTGTCCATATGAGGATAAAGTCAGAAACCAGGGGATGGGGTAGGGAGTGTCTCAGATCTGATGTCCAAAATAAGTTAGTTCTGAGGTGCTCCAATGAGTGTGCCTGATTATTTATTCCAGGGTAACCTCAGTTCCTGCAGACACTGGATTCTTTAGGGTTATTCAGACCATCTCTGGTGCCCAATAACACAGTTTGGCTGCAGAGAGGGGCTGGCAAACCTGAGAATCAGGCTCCATTGGCCCAGGCTGGCTGCTTCTCTCAGGCCACCCTACCACATACACACACGTGGATTTATAGGAACTTTACAGTTTATATAACACTATTGCCACTTCACAGGGAACTCGCCAGAACCAAGACTAATACTGAGGCTCCTGCTTGCCTCCAACAACCAGACTGCCCTTCCACTCAGGAATTCTGAACCAGGAGGTCTGACTTCACATTTCAGTTTCCCAACATCATTTCAGTTTCCCAACATCCTCATCTTCCCAAGGTGCTACTGTATATGGCACACATTTTCCTTCAACTGGTATTGAGACATTCACTACAGCCCTTGCCACAATTATGACACACCTTAGGGCGTTGTAAGACTGAGATTAGAAAACAATGTACTAGAACACTGTTCTAGATTAGAGGTTCTTCCAACACCAGAAAGATTAAAAGCCCAAGAGATTCTAGGAAACCGTTAAATTTAAGCTGCTAACTCTACAAGCAAGGAAATGAAGGCCCAGAGAGGTGAGGTAATCAAATGAGATAAAGTACATAAACTGAAGAGTTTTTATTACTGTGAAAGATTCCTGTTATTCCTGGCAACATGACTGGCCCTGCCTTAGCTTCCCAGAGGGCCTGAAGTCTCCTACTCACAGTTACCCATTCAAATCTCTCCATCAAACACCCAGTATAAGGCTTATTAACCTGCAGACTAGTGATTCTAGCCCTGGAAGCACATTAGAAACACCTGGGGAGCAGTGCTAATACCTAACCCCACCTCAGGCCAATTAAATCAGAATCTTTAGGGGTGGGGCTGAGCATTTTTTAGAAAACAACCTAGAGGACTGATGTTGTCTGGGGCTGGGAACCACGGTCTTTAGACCAAAGTATAGTCCAGGGACCACTGGCCTCAAAAATCACCCCCAAATCTTGTTAATGATGCAGACTTCTAAGTCCACCTGCAGACTGACTCAATAGAAATAAAGTGGGTCTCGGGACTTCCCTGGTGGCGCAGTGGTTAAGAATCCGCCTGCCAATGCAGGGGACACGGATTTGAGCCCTGGGTCCGGGAAAAGCCCGTATGCCGCAGAGCAACTAAGCCCGAAAGCCACAACTACTGAGCCCTCGTGCCACAACTACTGAAGCCCGCGTGCCTAGAGGCCGTGCTCTGCAACAATAGAAGCCACGGCAATGAGAAGCACACGTGCCGCAACGAAGAGTAGCCCCTGCTCGCCGCAACTAGAGAAAGCTCATGCGCAGCAACGAAGACCCAACGCAGCAAAAATAAATAAACTTAATAAATTTTTAAAAAAAGAAGAAAGAAAGTGGGTCTCAGGAATCTGAAGCTGTGACAGTCACCCAGTGGTTAGAGAGTAACAGCACTGGCACTGAGTGAGTCTCAGAAGTCACACCTGTTCTCCAGCTGACGCTGGAGTCCTGGATGGCCCCAGTAGCTGGCCTGGGAAAGGTTCCCAGATAATTCAGACTCTGGTGCCCACTCTAAGCTAAGAGCCCCTGCAGAAGCCCCACTGCTTCAATCACCAGCAGCTGTGGCGAACCTTTCAAAAAGAGAGCTGGAGTCCATCGTGGTTCTACACAGCCACCTGGGGCTTCCCATCTCACTCAGAGCTTCGGTTCAGGCCCCCACTAGGATTTACAAGCCCAGTGGGACCACCCTGGCCTCCTCTCCTATACCTTCCTCCTCCTCACTCCAGTTTTTCTCTCCACCCTGACTGCTCTTCCCTCAGATAAATGCATGGCTCCCTCTCTTACTCCTTCAGAACTCTGTTCAAACGTCCATTATCAGTGAGGCTTCCTTACTTAAAGCAGAAAATCTGCCTCCCCACCAAACCTCTCTATCTTCCATCCCAGCTTTGCTGTTT